CTAGCACGTCCCAGCACGTCCCAGCGGGGATCCACGCCAATCAGAGATGACTGTCCTGTCCTCACTATGCCAGCCTTCTCAGACCCCGCCCTAGAAAATGGAGGCAGCTTTGTTGTGGGCGCCCAGCCTGGTGTGATGGGCGGGGGCCAGGCGGGCTAGGAGTAGTCGGGCTTCACCCCGCAAGTGGGACTTTGCTGGGGGTGACTCACAGAGGACGCAGGGTGGGCTAGTCTGGCGTGCTTCAGACGGCTTCTGGGCAGTCCTTTGCTGGCTTTCCCGGCCTTTGCTGTCTGAGCCGCCGATTCGTTCCCTCAGCCGGGCCTGGGCGCTCCCAGGAGTCCTTCTCCATGTCGGCCCCAAAACCTCGAACCTGCTGCCGCTTGTTTGTCGATGTAGGATCGTTGTTGAAAGAATTATTCGTCTTTTGTTGCTCTTGGAAATGCAGTCAATACTCTGGTATCACAGCACACAGCTCTCAGGATCGCGCTGTTTCCTGACGCGGGCGTTCGAGACCCGTCGCCATCTTTTTTCTTCTAAAGATTTCGGAAGAAAATAATTTTTAAAAATGAAGAAAATCTAAGAGAGCTAGCAGGCAACCCTAAGCACACAAACATTAAAACATTCAAATTGTGGGTGTTCCAGAAGGGGAGGAGAAAGGAATAGGCATGGAAAACCTATTCAACAAAATAATAATGGAAAACTTCCCAGGTATAGGGAGAGACACAGACCTTCAGATCCAGGAGACTCAAAGATCCTCAGACAGATTCAACCCAAAAGGATCCTCTCCAAGGGAATTATAGTCAAACTGGCAAAGCTCAAAGACAAAGAGGGAATCTTAAAAGAAGCAAGAGAAAAGTCACCCATAAGGGAGCCCCTATCAGACTAATAACAGACTTCTCAACAAAAGCACTATAGGCCAGATGATATATTCAAAAACTAGAAGAAAAAACTTCTGGCTAAGGATACTATATCCAGCAAGGTTATCCTTCACAAATGAAGGAAAAATATTGTATTTTCCAGACAAACAAAAACTGTGGGAGTTCACCACCACACAACCAGCCCTACAAGAAATCCTCAAGGGAGTCCTGCATCTAGAACCTGAAAAAAGATAATCACTACCTTGAATACATAAGAAAGAATAAAACCTACTGGTAGAGCAAAAATGCAAACTAGAAAGAGAAAGAAACTAAATCTTACCACCACAAAAAAATACAATGATGATGTAATAATCCCTTTGATTTATTTCTGATTTTAGTAATTTTGGTCTTCCTTCTTTTTTTCTTGGTCAGTCTAGACAAAGGTTTCTAAATTTTGTTGATCTTTTTAAAGAATCAGCTTTTGGTTTTGTTTTCTCTGTTGTGTTTTAATTTCACATTTCATGTATTTCTGTTGTAATTTTTGTTATTTCCTACTTATATTTGCTTTTGGTTTAGTTTGCTCTTTTTCTTTTTCTTAAGGTGGAAGTTTACATTACTGATTTGAGATATTTCTTATTTTTAATATAGGTGTTTACAAGTATAAATTTTTCTCTAATCATTGCATGAGCCCTGCATCCTATAAATTTTGATATGCTGTGCTTTGATTTTTATGTCAAAGTACTCTAATTTCTCTGTGATTTTTCTTTTTACTGTTATTTATTTAGGAGAGTGTTGTTTGATTTCCAAACATTTGTGAAATTTCTAAATTTCCTTCTGTTATTTTGGTCAGAGAACATATTTTCTATGAATTTAGTTTTTTAAAATATATTAAGAGTTGTTTTGTGGCCATAAATAAATACATGTAAAAATTTAAAAAGATGTAACCAAAGAACTTACTGTCAGACTCACTCAGTATAATAATTAAGATATGGTCCAAGCTATGTAAGAGAGACTACAAAATACAGAGGCCTAAATAACACTGAAGCTTATTTATCTTTTGTGTAACAGAGTAGAGATGTGCAAAGTCCAAAGGTGGAGGAGGTGCTCTTCACAGAGTCATCTGGGGACAAAGTCTTCTTCTGTCTTGTTGCTCTGCCAGCCCCACGGGTGATGTTCTGGTTTGTGTGGTTGATGCTGTCTCATCTCCATATACACGTTCCAGTGTGATACAAAGCAGATGCTGAAAGTCCTGGGAAAGCACCTTTGCCTTTGAGTTGATGAACCAGAAGTGGCACATGTTACTTCTGCTCACATCCCTTCCATTTAGACTAATCTGTGTTGCCACATCTACCTTCAGGAGAGGCTAGGGAAAATGGCATGAAATTGGGTGGACATGGATTTGTCTAAAATTTGAGAGGTTCCATTACTAAAAAAGAAAAAAAAAAGGGGAGGGGTTGGTACCAAGGACAATTAATAATCTGTGCCCCAGTCCGGTATTCATAGGTACAAATAATCATATTTAATAGGAAAGTATCCTAATAAGAATTCATAGTTATAAAAAACTATGAATTTATAAAATTTTCACTTGCTAAAAATGATTATTGGACATGGAAATAAGATAAAAATATGTTCTGATTTTTGGTTTTAGATGGCCAGTAACCCATGTGCCAGGTAGCATTCTATGCTAACCTTGAATGCCAGCAGGAAGTCACTGGACAGTAAACTCTTCCAAGATCATAACTTGGCTGTTGGAGTAACTTGGAAAAGAGGAAAAAGAATTGAAATCATGGCAAAAGTAAATAGAGCTCGGTCTACCTCCCCTCCAGATGGAGGCTGGGGCTGGATGATTGTGGCTGGCTGTTTCCTTGTTACCATCTGCACTCGGGCAGTCACCAGGTATGTGGGATTTTCTTCTTGATTTATTAAACTGACCTGGCTTGTTTTTTCTTCTAAGTCTGTTTCATTCCATTTCTGAACCCATCATTGTGAAAATATGTGTGGACTGCTCAGATGTCTTTTTGTTTGCAAGGAATGTGATTTTCTGATACTTAAAAGTCCTAGATAGTGGTGTCTTCTGTCCATCTGATACTTAAACCTGAAGTGTTAGGACATTTTTAGACTCAATATTGTGGCTATTGAAGCCATTTGTTTTCATAAGAAGCTCCAGAAGATGTGGAAGTATGTGATACATATTTCATTTCACTCTTCATCTTCCATTCATCATTAATATGAAATGTTTAAAGCCCATCATATATGAAATAACATGGGTAGGGTACTGATTTGTTCATTAGAGGAAGGAATGGATGCATGATATTTTATAATGAAATCACTTTTCTAGGGGTTTTAATGAATTGCTAAATACACACCTGAGAAGGTAATTAAGCATAATCTGTTTGTGAAAGTCCATTTTTTTTTAGAATTTTTCTTATCTATCATCTTAATGATAAATCTTAATTAAGGTAAGTCTTAATCGTTAAGATTTTACAGTGGAAACAAAGAGCTAACTGGATGTGTGATTCATAATTCATAAATTAAAAAGAAAACACTATGGGCAAACTAATGGCAAGAGGTCATAGTGATTGGCTTCAGTGACCTCACCCACAGTCACCTGCTTCAGCTGAGGCACTGCAGAAAACCCCAGAGCCTCTCTTGGGCAGAGTCCTGCCCATGGTTTCAGCGATCTCACCCAGTATCAAATACTCTAGCTGAGGAACTGCAAAGCACTCCAGAGCCTCTCCTGGGGGTGCAGGTTCCCACCCATGGCCCTAGTGACTCTGCCTAAGGTTGCACACTCCACTTGAGAAGCTGCAAAACACCCCAAGACCTCTTGAGGGTCCAAGATCTTGTCCACAACCCCATCAACCCCACCTAGTGTCACTTACTCTAGCAGAGGAGCAAGAGAATGCCCCTGAACTTCTCCTGAGAGTTTAAGGTCCTGGCTGCAGTCCCAGTGAGCCCCACCCCAGGGTTGGCCACTACACCTGAGGAGCTAAAGAGCACTGTAGTGCTTCTCCCCAGGGTCTGCAGTCCTGCCCATTTCCCCAGTAACCCTACTTACTCCAGTGGAGGGACATCATATTGCCACAGCACCTCTCTGAGAACACTGAAGTTCCAACTGCAACCCCAGCAACCCAATCCAGGGTCACCCACTTCAACTGCAGAGTCCTTGAGTGCACCAGCACCTCTCCCAGGGGCTCAAGGTTTCAGCTGAAGCCTCAGCAACCCTTCCCAGTGTCACTAACTGCAGCAAGGAGCAGCTGAGCACCTCAGTACCTAGGACACTGAGGCACTCTTGCAGACAACTTCAACATTGAATACTGATAAAGAAATCACATGAAGACTATGATACTGCACTCACCCATAACCAAGCCTAAAACAGCCTATCCAACTGACACCATAGAACACATCTACAGGAAAGTGTCTCCCTTCAAGACATACTTCAGAAAATTAGAAGAAGTGACTGTTTTTCCCGATGCCCAGACATCAATGTGGGGATATAAGAAGCATTAAAAAAGAAGGAAATATGACAGCCTCAAAGGAATACAATAATTCTCTGTACCAGACCCTGAAAGAAAAGGAAATCTATGAAATGTTTGAAAATGGACTCAAAATAATGATCTTAAGGAAACTCAGTGACATGCAAGAGAATACAAATAGACAATTCAGCAAAATCAGGAAAACACTTCATGATCTGAATGAGAATTTCAACAAAGAGATATAAAAAAGAATGAAGCAGAAATCTTGAAACTGAAGAATTCATTAAATGAAATAAAAAAGAACACAACTGATAGCTTAAGCAACAGGCAAGATCAAGCAGAAGGAAGAATTTCTCAACTTGAAGACAGATCTTTTGAAATAACCCAGTTGTACAAAAAGAAAGAAAAATGAATAAAAAAGAATGAAAAACCTACAATATTTATGAGATAACTTTAATTTTACAGGGATGTACATTATGGGTATTCCAGAAGGGGAAGAGAAGGAAAAAGGCATTGAAAACCTATTTAATAAAATAGTAGATGAAAACTTCCCAAGTTTTGGAGAGATATTGACTTGTAGGTCCAATAGTCTCAAAGATCCCCAAACAGGTTTACCTCCAAAATTCTTCTTTGAGGCATGTAGGCAAACTGTCAAAAGTCAAAGACAATGAGAGAATCTATAAAGGAAGCTCTATCAGATTAACAGCAGATTTTTTCAGCAGAAATTTTACAAGCCAGGAGAGAGTGGAATGTTATATCCAAAGTGCTGAAAGAAAAAAAATACCAGCCAAGAATACTATACCCAGCAAAGTTATCCTTCAGAAATGAAGTAGAAATAGTGTTTTTCCAGACAAACAAAAACTGAGGGAATTTATTACCATTAAACCAGCCCTACCAGTAATCCTTAAGGGAGTCCTACATCTGGAAGCAAAGGGAAAATGACTACCATCATGAAAACACATGAAAGAATAAAACTCATTGGTAAAGCAGATTTGCAAATGAGACAGAGAAAGAAATTATATCTTTTCCTTACAGAAAACCTCCAAACTGCAAGGACAAATTATAGAAGAATTAAACAAAGGATATACAAACCAACCATAAAACAATTAACAAAATGTCAGGAGGAAGGCCACACCTTTCGATAACAACCTTGTATGTAAATGGAATAAATTCTTCATTTAAAAGATATAGACTGATTGAATGAATTAAAAACCAAAGCCAAAGTATATGATGGCTACAAGAAACTCACTTCATCTATAAAGACACACGTAGACTAAAAGTGAAGGGATGAAAAAAGATATTCCACACAAATGGAAACGAAAAACAAGCAGGAACTATACTTATATTGGATAAAACAGACTTTAAACCAAAAACTATAAAAAGAGACAAAGAAGGTGACAAAGAAGGTCATTATATAGTGATTAAGGTATCAATTCAGCAACAGGATGTAATAATTATAAATACACATGCACCCAACATCAGAGCACCCAGATATATAAAGCAAATATTACTGGACCTAAAGGAAGAGATAGACCCCAATGCAATAATAGTTGGGGATTTTAACCCCTCTATCAGCATTGACAGATCATCTAGACACAAAGTCAACAACAACAAAAATTGGATTTAAAATGTATTATAGACCAAATAGACCTGACAGACATTTATAGAACATTTCAAGAATACACATTCTTCTCATCAGCACATGGAACATTCCCCAGGGTAGACCATATGTTAAGCCAAAAATCAAGTCTCAACAAATTTTAAAACAGCAAAATTGTATCAAGTATCTTTTAAGACTGTGACAGAATAAAACTGGAAATCAATAACAAGAGAAACTTTGGAAAATGTATGAATAGATGGAAATTAAACAACATTCTCCTGAACCAATGGGTCAAAGAAGAAATTCAGGAGGAAATCAAAATATTCCTTAAGACAAAAGAAAGTAGAAGCACAACATACCAAAACCTATGGGATACTGAAAAAGCAGTGCTAAGAATGAAACTTACAGCAATAAGTGCTTACATTAAAAAATTAGAAAGATTTCAAATAAACAACCTAATGTTGCATCTCAAGGAACTAGAAAAGCAAGAACAATTCAATCCTAAAATTAGGAAATGGAAAGAAATAATAAATATCAGAGCAGAACTAAATGAAGTAGAAGCCACAAAATGATACAGAAGATTGAGAAAACCAAAAGTTTGGTTTTTTGAAAAGATAAACAAAATTGACAAACCATTAGCTAGAATAATTAAGAAAAAAAGAGAGAAGACCTAAATAAATAAAATCATAAATGAAAAAAGAAACATTAAAACTGACATCACAGAAACACAAGGAATCATTAGAGACTATTATGAACAAGTATATGCTAAAAAATTGGAAAACCTAGAGGAAATGGATAAGTTTCTGGACACATACAACCTACCAAGACTGAACCAAGACAAGAGAGAAATCCTTAACAGACCACTAACAAGTAATGAAATTGAATCAGTAATCAGCATCTTCACAAGAAGCAAAAGTCTAGGACCAGATAGCATCACTGCTACAGTCTACCAAACTTTTAAAGAAGAATAAATACCAATTTTTTTCTCAAACTTTTTCAAAATATTGAAGTAAAGGGAGTTCTTCTAAACTCATTCTATGAGGCCAGCATCACCCAAATCAGACAAGGACACAACAAATAAAACTACAGGCCAATATCCCTGATGAACATAGAGATGCAAAAATTCTCAACAAAATACTAGTAAACAGAATTCAACAGCACATTAAAAACATTACACACCATGATCAAGTGGTTTATCCAGAGATGCAAGGACAGTTGAGCATATGCAAATCAATACACCACATCAACAAAATGAGGGATAAAAACCATATGATCATCTGAATAGGTGCAGAGAAAGCATTTGATAAAATTCATCATTCCTTCATGATCAAAACTCTCAACTAAGTATATATAGAATGAAAGTATCTCAACACAATAAAGGCCATATATGACAAACCCACAGCTAACATCATACTGAATGGGGAAAAGTTGTAAGTTTTTTCTCTAAGAATAGGAACAAGACAAGGATGCCTACTCTTCCCACTCTTATTGAATATAGTACTGGAAGTCCTAGCCAGAGCAATTAGGCAAGAGAAAAAAAAAAAAGTGGTCATTATTATGTACTTACTTCCTGTGTTTGTTAATGTGTATTGATTACTTATTTTTTTTGAGACATTTTATTACCAAATACGTTATCTATGTTAAGAATCATATTTCCTGTGCAATTACATGACATTCTATTCATAAATTGACCACTTGATTTGGGTTGGTACTTGAAAAGCAACATTTAATTTTAATTGTGCAAAACTAACCCTCCACCTCTACCACCCCTTACTCTCCCAGTCTGAGGCCTGTTAGACTTTCTCTAAGACTTCTGGGTC